TGAGGTCGTTGATCAGCGGAAGGGGGTACTGGTTTTTGACGGTCATCGCGTTGAGAGCACGGTAGTCCTGGACGAAGCGGAGTCCGCCATCCTTCTTTTTGACGAAGAAGACCGGAGACACCATCGGAGACTTGGAGGGGCGAATCCGGCCCGTCGAAAGCCCTTCCTCGATGAACGCGTCGAGCTTGCGTTGCTCGAGGGGCGAGATGGGATACACCTTGCAGTTGGTGGGCTTAGCGTCGGGGACAAGCTCAATGGCGTGGTCCCAGGCTCTCCGCTCCGGTAGCGTGTCGAAGGACTCCTTGTTGAAGATGTCCTGGAACTCCTTAGCCCAGTCCGGGATCTCGGAGGGTGGTGGGGCGGAGTTCCTGGCAAAGGCTTCGGCCAGGCGCTGTGAGACAGTGCTACCTGCGCGTATCTCCTCCGAGGGACGAAACGAGGTGTAAAAGATGCGGTCACCATCTTCGAGCTGGTCATCCTCGTCGTCCGAGTCCGAGTCCGGTGTCAGATCAGGCAGGTTGGAGTCGAGACCGGAGTCGGAATCGTCTCCGTCCTCAGGGCCAGAGAGGTCCATAGTGCAAACCGAGGGGAATGGGCCGGAGCGGAGACGTTTCTGAAGCGACCGGAGTCGCCGCAACTCGGTCCGTTCGACACGCTCCTCCTCACGGCAGGTCGAGCAATTGCGGGGGGCACCGTGTCATCTTGACCTCCTTGGTTTCCCAATTGATCTCTGGGTTGTGTTTCCGCAACCAGGAGTACCCCAGGATGAGGTCTTGCTTGCCAAGATGGGTGACGGCCAGTTGAACTCGTTCGGCATGGCCTCTGTAGCGCAGGACCAAGTCCGCGATCTGTTTGATGGAGCCGGCATCATTAGGGGTGCCGTCGACATTGAAGACCCGGATCGGCTGATCAAGAGTGCGGACCGGAATGCCATTCCGAGCAACATAGTTCGTGTCAAGAAAGTCGGAGGTGGCACCACAGTCGACAAGCCCAGAGAGCGAGAGCTTCAGCGCGCTGGTGGTGGACTCTAGCTCCAACGGGAGGTGGAGGGAGTTCGCCCCAGGGGCAGCGGCAACAGTGTACTGCTTGGGTAGTTTCTTTTCCCAGGCAGTGAGGTGGCGAAGGACGATGACCGGAGTCGCGGGCGGAGTCGGAGACGGAGTCGAGGTGGGGGCAGGAGAGGGTGTGTCTTTTGTTTCGGGCTCATTGTAGGGCAAGGAACTGCATTCATCATACAAGGAGGCAAAACGATTTATAGACGCGAACGAGGGCACACCAGTCACTCGTCGCGGGGGACAAAATCCTCTCCGGCCATCGACTCCGCTGCTGTCTCCGGCAGGGCAGCTGTGTCCGTGTAGCGGGCGATCAACTCCGCTAACATCTCGTCACCGAGTTGTTGGATCACCTCGTCGAGGATGTCCATCGAGCGGACATCGGCGGGGAGGGGGCAATCCCAGGCAAGATGGTTTGGGTCGCCGCACCTGAAGCAGGCGCGACGAGGGGCACCCCGAGCCCTGGTGCGATCCAACTCCATAGGGACGGGAGCTGGAGGCGCCGGGGGGGGGCGCGGGCTGCGGGTGGCACGACCGGAGCCACCGGGCGGAAGGGGGCCGGAGCCGGGATGCGGTTGACCGGAAACGGAGTCCGAATCAAACCGCCAGGCGTCTTGGGGGCGGCTGACTTGATCAGCTTGGCCCGGACCAGGGCCTCGTATTGACGGAAGGCCCGGGTGCGCCAGCTAAGGTAGTCCCGGAGGTCCGGGGGGTCGTTCGAGGACGTGATTCCATTGTTGATCAAGGGATCAAGTCCATGGCGGAACTTGGTCACCTTGACCAACGCGTCTTTGAATCCGGCGAGGTCCATCAGGTCCTCAAAGTCGTCAGTGTACTGGTAGACATCCTTTGTGCCCATGTGATAGGCGGAAGTCTCCAGCTTGGAGAGAGCGTGATCTTGCTCGTTCTTCTCGACGAACCAGAGTCGAAACTCGGAAACGAACGAGCCCCAGGACGGAAACGGAAACGGGGCTTTGCTTCCGTGGCGCTCCGCCCATTGCTGAGCGGGTCCTTCTGCCATAAACGACATGGCATAGTGGACGGCCTTTTCCTCGCTCGCCTCTCCGTTGACCACGAAGGCCTCAGGGGCAAGGCGGGCGTAGGTGCGGACCGCGTAGAGGAACACGCGGCCACGTTTCCGATCGCCGTTGAAGGGGAACGGGGGGTTTGGTCACAAGACCAATTTTGAGGCGAGGTTGTTGTCGCCGAAAAGGGCTTCGGAGTCGCCCTGAACCGGAGTCGGAGTTGGAATCGACGTCTCCGGCAAAGGTGTTTGGGGTCCGCCAGCATTATTAGCGGCGGCAGCGGCAGCGGAAGCCTGGTTGGTAAGCAAAGCAAGAGCCTCAGTGAGGCTATCGATTTTCGCCTCGAGTGAGTCCAGCCAGGCGTCTGCGGTAGGAGTGACTCCGGATGGCATGACGGGTGCAGGGACCACAGGAGTAGAGGAGGAGGGGACAAGTGGCAGGGGCGGTGACGAGAGCGGAACGGACTCGTACTCCGAGCCTGAGTCAGCGCCGAACCTGGCAATCTTGTCCGGTTGATCCCGTAGAGAGTTTCTTCTGCTGTAAGGGCAACCCCGGAGGCCTGAGATCAAGGTCCTAGCAGGGGAGGATCCAAAGCGTGAACATTGGTAAGCGAATACAAATGAAGCTGACCTAGCAGGGGGGGATCCAAAGAGAAGAAACTCTGAGGGTCCACCTGCTAGGTAGCTGACTATATACTGCTTGTCCGTAGCTGCCGCTGTCGGGCACAGGAGGCTTGGGCGGCGTCGCAGGCGAGGTCCCAGGGCGACCGTCGGGAGGGCGTTGACGGATTGGTGATTTTGCGGGCGAGATGGAGGGCTGGACCGGAGTCGGAACTGGAATCGGACCAGAATCGGGCGCGTCTCCGGGCCGAAAGGGGGGGTTCCCCTGACAGAACGAAGCTAATCATCCATTAGCTTTGCGCTGCCCATCCGCGCGCGCATCCGTCAGCCATCGCGCATCTGCTTTAACATCAGGAAAAACTGAAATGTCAATTGAAAGTTCATCTTTTCAATACAGATTTGTATACCTATTTCTTTGTAGCAGAAAGGAAATATTTTATTTTTTTCACAAAGAAGATATTTATATTTATGCTTTCATGTCAGTGAAAATAACATCTTTATGTTTTTTGCAGAATGGACATCATTTGTTTCCCCTTTCATACAAGAACAAAGAGCATCTTTGTGAAAAAGTCAGAACGATGATGTTTCCTTACCCCTTTCATGTGATTAAAAAAGCACACCTTTCTCTTCTTACAGAGGTGCATATAAAGAAGACCTTTCTGAAAATGGCAGAAATATTGTCTTTTATACGACAAATAAAGAGGAATATAAATCACATATTTCTGAAATGAGTGAAAATATATGCTTTATAGTACACAGAAAGGGGTATTCAAAGCCATGTGGAAAGGTTAGCTTTTCAATAACTTTTCCATCCCTGTCAAAGACATTCTTTTTGTTCTTACAGAAAGCTTGATAAAGAATAGTCATTTATGAAACAATTAATATATCATATTTCTTGTTTGAGAAAACAGGTATCTAAATATGTACATTCAATACATGTTTAAAGGGGAAAAGAAATTTTTGAATTTCATGTGTGTACATACGTAGGTCACCCTTGCAAGGGCCTTAGTGAAGGGGCTCAAGGCCTTAGGCGAACACTGATATGTACCCTCTGGGTGGATACATACTCTCAGTTCCACTAGTTGATATAGGTAAGATGTCCACTAACTTTAAACCTAGCAAAGTTAGTGGACATAGTGCTAGTCAGATAATATATAAATATTAATAACCATAACTACTCTAGATAGATAGATAGGGCTATACAGACTCTACATTAGTGTATATATAGAGGCCATTCACTGTGATGATGTCTACTAGCTTTGGACCTAGGAAAGTTGATAGAGATCATATAATCCTCCTAGTATCTTATACATACCTTATATATGGTTTTGTATATTAATAAGAACATTTGCTAAGTTTAAATATAGGCAAGCTGGTAGACAGCAATATTATATATCAATGCTAATAATCATATCATTAGCCTATATCTTATTAAGGAGTATCGCTATGCATTTCATTCTTTACAATATGGACTAGAATGGTTCTCTCTATAAGTTAAATCTTTTGATCCCAGATCATTAGATCAAAAATATCATATCTTCCTTAATATTATATATTTTCAATTTTTTGCTTGTACATTTGAGATTATCTAGGCAAAATGCAAAAGTGTGATATTTTGATACACCATCAGATCAGGACAGTGGGCAGGAGGTGTTAGAGGATGGTGGGCATGACAGGTGATTTTGCCCCAAACCTGTCCATAAAAGGGGCCAAAAGGGAGGTTCCCTTAACAGGTCCTTGATCTCAGGGCAACCTTGGAGGACTCTGGGCTGCCCTCATAAGGTCTGTAAAAAGAGACAATTTCTGCATCAGAGAACTCAAAGTCTTTTATGGCCTCTGTCAGGTCTAACAATTAGTCAATAGACAGTTTGCAATCAGCCACCAGAGGTCACCCAGTGGCTAAAATCCTGTGCAACGCCCAGTGTGTGGCCTCCGGTGGCTCATCACAAACTGACTAATAAGCTAAACTATTTCTACTTTGAAAAGCTTCTTCTAATAGTTTTCATCCAATTTTCATCTTACAATACATTTTAACCTCATATTGTATTAAGAACTATTTACAGCAATACTTAACCTTGGTCAAAGTAAAATGATAAATTGATAATTTGTAAACTTTGGACTGTCCAATGAATTTTTGTGTGAAGGCTTATTCATGAGGGAAGGAAGCGAGATGGTGTCAAGCATCAGGTGTGATGTCATGAGATATGATATTCGGCGGATCATGGCTTATGGCAACGCTGCCGTACCCGTGACCGATAACCACGCCAACGCGACGTCACACTTTCCTCCTTGCTTCTTGCCACGACGTGTCTATGTCGGTGGCTACTCCGCTGAAACGCAGGCGGTCAGTATCGCCTGACGTCACACGGCCATTGCTTCCGTACCTTTACTATCCTGCGCCGGCACCGGATCCCGTCACTCGTGCTACGTTTCTAGGGAGAGTCTTCGAGTGAGTCCGCAATTCCTAGGAATGCGGCACTGATTTGGTACAATGGTAGCATGCTAACGCCTGCGTATGTGAGCGATCACAATCCCGGGTCGCTGTCGTGGCGGTCCAACGGCACGAGCATGATCATTAGGGACCCTACGTTGTTCGCAGAAACCTTGTTGCCGTCCGCCTTTCCGGGCCAGAAAGACGCAAAGGTGTTTTTAAGATCACTTCAGGCGCGTCATACATCGTTCCACACCATCTCTATTTACCCTCATTAGGATTACGACTTCAGACACAAGACGCAGAAAGGGGGACACATTTTTATTAGTGCGTTTTCCAATGACATGCTCAACATTTGGGGCTAAGCGTGTTAAAGAACATCCTGCACTCAATATCACCTCGACCAGAGAGGAATTTACAGCCATTCCCAGAAAGACGCTGGCTCGGCGGGTCACACACGAGACCTTTCTTGGTCGCGTCTACGAGCGAGTTGCCTTTACACTGCTTTCGCTGGCTAAACTCCGGCAGCATGATGGTTGCGCACCCAGAGCTCACCACTAACATCATTCGCTGGTCTTCTGACGGCACCCAGATCGTCGTCGACAACGCGAAGGCGTTCGAAAGGACGGTCCTGCCCGTTTGTCTTCCGACGCAGCGCCGGGTACAGACCTTTGCGCGATCATTACATGTGTGTTCTATTCAGCATCTCGGCGTTCAGTTCGCTAATTGAAATATTCTGTAGTTTTATGGGTTCAACCAACGGACCGAGTATCCCTCTGGCCGACTCATGTTGAGTATGTGTTCCTTAACTGGTTCAATCGCTCTCATGGGGAGGCTGCAGCACATCCGACACTCACCCAAGCATCGTCCCGGGAAGACTTTCTCGCCGTACCACACGTCCTATACAACACGACTGCGATCGAATGCCTCACCATCATAAGCCCTTTCGAGCGGAGTCCGTTGCGTCATGGTCTGTCTCAGCATTCCAATGCCGCTGCAGCCAGCACCGAGCCCAAACAAGCGCCATCGAAGGTGTTTATTGGCCGCGTCCATGAGTATGTCCTGTATTTTTGTCTGTCCAGGAATAGAGTGGCTGATCTGTATAGTATGTTGTCCTCGCCTGACAGGACTGTGAAGCGCGCGGTTGGCTGGTCGAAGGACGGGACCGAGATTGTGATCTTCGATCCAGACAAGATGTTGAAATGCTTGCCAACGTTCTTTCCGCGACAGAGCAAAGTTCGGTCGTTTCTCTCTAGCTTGCGGGTGAGTCCCTGGATTTGTCTCAACGTCATATCTTGCGGGTTTTCAAACTGACCAGATGTACGGATTCGTACGCCGGGACAATGGAGGGGGAAAGCGGATGATTTTCGGTGCGTTGTTTGACTCTGGCTGGTTAGCGAGAGACTGATCAGCACTATGTGCAGTCCATCCGACGTTAAATTCAGGCTCGACACGGGCAGAGTTCCACGCGACGCCCCGGAAGCAGCGTTCAAAACAACCACAACCCAGCAGCGTTGGCGCCGAGGAACTTGAAGGACAGGAGCTCGAGTCGGAGCAAGAGGTCGAGCTGGACTTGTCGACGTTGTTGAGCTTCGATGAGAAAGGCAAAGGCAGGCTCATCGAGCCGGACGCAAATGTACGTTCTTTCTCATCTGGTTTGTCTTCTGATGTGTATCTCCCCAGGATGCTGCCGAGTCTGGCAGTCAATCGGACGTCGCGGGTGAGCCCGACTTCGAGTTTGAGCTTGAGCCTCGGGAGGAACGGGTGCGCTTTGAGTGCCCACACGACGGTTGTGGTATCAGTTATAAGCTAGAGGAGGCGCTACAGGTACATCGGGAGAGAATGGGACACTGATTATAGAACAGACTGTGCCTTGATCTCACCGATTAATTTGAAGCGATGCAGCTTGGTCCGCCGATTTATTCCATATCTCCCCGACCAATTCGGGAACCTCGGGCAGGGTTTCCCCTGGACTGACTATGGCCGCCGAGGTCGATGCGGCTTGAACCAGAGCAACTTGAACGACAGCTGACACTGCTGTCCAATGATAAGATCATGGATCGATGTGGTTCATCGGCGTGGTGCCAATTGGCAATGTATGTTCTATTTCAGAGCTCCATCTTCCTGAACGTTTTTGATATTGCAGGGGATGGTGTAGCACTTACCGGACCAAACCCGAGAATCCCTGCGCACTGTGCCCAGCGCTGCCCTGTGATGCCGGTGGACGAGATTTTCAGGCACCCGGGGCGGCACTCTGTCACGATGCTGTCGCAATGCCAAACAAACCATCGTTGTCGAACAATCACTTGCGAAATGCTTGCTAATGTTAATGTTCAGGTCTCAGGCTGCTGGCAGTCCCATGCGCTCGCGAGGTTTCTTGCCGGGGCAGGTTTGTGATGCAACTCGTAGCCCACTGTCCGGGACTGGGTGGGTATTGAGACTGGGGCTGTATAAAAGCCCTGTGCGGAATACCTCTGTTCTCCATCCCCCGCCCCATCAAACCTCGCTACTTGACTAGGAGCTCATGAAGGTCCCTGGGATTCTCACCCTCATCGTCGCCGCGGCTGCCGGGTCCGTCGCCGGAAGCGCCGTTAACGCCGAGCTGAAGGCCCACCTCGCACGCACGCCGGACCCGTTGCTCTGGGCCCGCGCAACGTCGACCTCCAAGGCGACTGGGACGCCCACCGGCACAACCGGCACCGCGACAAGCAAAACGTCATCGGCCCCGACATCAAAGCCGACCGGCAGCGATAGCGCCGGCGCATGCTGTGGTAAACACGCTTGCCGTTGATCACTCACGCGATCTGATTGATCGCACCCCCCTTGTAGAATGTCTCCTCGCGCTGGCGGGGGAGGGCGTCGCGTGCGCCGCTGCGCTTACCGAATGCGGAGCGAGTGTGTTCTTCTTTTCTCTTGCCTGTGGGCACTCCTGTTGACGTCGCGTTAGATGTTCTTGCCGACATCAGCTGTATTTTGGACTACGCCGCGGCTGCAGCAGCTATTGTGAGTCCTTTTCGTCCACTGCAATAGGTACTATCCCTGATTGATGATGCAGCCGAAATGCTTGACATGTATTGGATTGAAGTAGTTTCGAGTCAGTGCTATCTAGTGCTTACAATGATATACTTATAACGTTGACAATGTGTGATGATGAGGCATACTTGACTTATTTACAAAGGGGGTCTCAAGCAACTTAACCCCCTCTTTTAGTAATGAATTCCCCGTCCGTTCCCTTTGCTGCAGTATTACGTCCCACTCTGATGTCATTGCATCACGGTTGCCAAGCAGCGATGATGGTTGCTGCCGCAGCTTTGCACCTCTCTTCCGACAGTCATCTCTGTCGATATCTTTGTACGCGCTCTATTATGCCGCCGTGCCCATCTATCCGTAGCCGCTGCTAGCTGGGACAGGAATATGGTCTTGGCTACAACTTGGTTACCATGGCGCGGGGAAGTCGGCGCAGTGTTAGGAGGGAAGGTAGGCACAAAGCGATTCCGTCTTTCGTGATCTGACTTTTGGTTAATCCGAGGATAGCTTTAACATGGACAGCCGGGACATGTACAGTGAGCGTTGCAATAGTACAATGAGCGCCGCAATGGCGTAAAGGGTGTCCAGGGTGTCCAGGTATTCGTCCTTCTCCGCCTTGCTGGCCTTCTGCTCATCGCTTTCCCGGTTAACTACACCTCACCTCTTTTCGGCACTTCGTGGAACCCGACCAGAGAGTCACCAGACTCCCAATCCGACTTGTTCATGAGTTCCTCTCGATCTTATAAGCTCCGCGATCCAGTTTGGATAACTCGGCAATGCGGAAACGGTTTCACCGAGTAGATCCCATTGAATTCCGACCCCATTGATTTGGTGGGCACCGAAAGAAGGGGCGACACCTGCCACACTCATGTCACCAAGTTGACCAGCAATTCTAGGCGGCGCTGGCCGCGCAGCTGCGCGATGCATTCGTTGCTGTAACTGTGAGTCGACGGGAATTGCGCGATGTGGTTAACTGGTTACCTGAGCACCCACCAACTTGAATGGTGTGTCGAGTAACGTCTAAAATTAACTCCCACGTATTGACTGCAATCTGCACACATAGCCCGGCGACGGCGGGTAGAGACGTTTCATCTGTTGGCATTCGCGCTTAGCATGCCGGCTGCCTTATCCGCCTCTCCGTCTGTAGCGTGATTCCAAACGGTGCGCAGAGTACAGTGGCTTGGTCCACCGGCGCTACACATTTGAGACTCCAGGGGCACTTCGGCTGCAGCAATCGTCCGTCCGTTTGGAGACTATGCATACCACTCCCCGAGCCCAACGGCAGTCCGTCAACGAGTCATTTGGCGACATCGCTAGCCCTTTCATAGCGGCGAAATTATAGCTGCCACCTCTCAACGGCGAGCGCAATTCAAACCGTGGGACACGATGGGAGCCAAAACTCGACGCAGACTTATTGCAACAGAAACCATTCAGTCACATTTTTGACGTGTGTCGAGCGTTGCCGAGTGTTAGGCGATGATGTGTGATAATAAGCCAAGCCATCAGGCCCCCAAAGATAGGAATCAGACAGTCTTTAGGGCCGGTTCACACGGATGCTTGAGACCACTGGTATGTAGCACTTGCAACCATAGAGTATACTTATGTAGGTACTAATCCTGATATCCACTATAAGCGACAACCTGGCGTCGGCGCTGCTCGGACCCTCCTCCCCCCTGCGCGCGCCTACAAGTCGGCCGGCTCACCGCCGCTGGCCCGAATGATTTTCGAGCCGCTGGCCGAGCACCCGTGGGCGGTGCGGGAAGGGTCAGCAGACTACTGCATTGACAAGTTTGAGTTGCCCCACCCGCCAGCGGAACTCACAAGTTTTTGGGCACTGCGACTTCTCATGGCCGCAATCAACTGAGAGCCTGCCCGGGTGCTAGGCCAGCAAACGAACAACCGCGCCGGTCCGCGCGCAGCTATTTGCGGAACTCACCGCTGTCGCCAAGGGCCTAAGATGAAAGCCCACGCCGGCAATGCTTGGAACAATGCGGCCGCGGCGGATGCGCTGACAAAAACTACAGCACACAACTTGAAGTGCTCAGCAGCTCCCCGTTGCCGAGCCCAAAACGTGGCGATTCCGCGCTGGGTCCGCAAGTGCCACCTACTGGTTGCGCGTGTCGTAATCCTGGCTTGGGAATCAATGAAGCGAAGCAGCAGTCTGCCAGCAGATATAGCTGACGCACCTGGGGAAGCCCGAGACGTTTTCAGGTCCCATAGAACAGCTTCGCTCAGGCTGGAGCCGAATTCCGAGCAATTCAATGAGCTGAAACAGTTTTGGCAATTCGGCACACTCACCACTGGCATTGGCAACATATATACGTGTTCGCGGACCGCCGGACTAATAGAGCCGCTCGTCGTTCTTCACCCGAGAAACATGTCCCAGGGTACTCAGGCTGAACAGGCCAGGACACGCGCCAAGCACAAGCCCCGATAACACAAGGCGCGAAACCTGGTGCCGTGCCGGTATGAAATTGGGCCAGACAGAGGGTGAGGTCAACTGATGAAATTGGGCCAGACAGAGGGTGAGGTCAACTGGCAAGCGCGGCAGTGCTTCCGACTACCTGCGCATGTCCGAGTCGCTCAACGGAAAAACATAAACTGAATACACTCACTGGTTTACCGTTCTTGAATCTTGTTGAGATATGTGAGATATTCAGGGGAATGCACCAGAGGTTACAGCCCGCTCGTCTGCGCTGTCCAGCTGACCATGGTACCGGCTCACGATCTCAACGCCAATAGTGACTCGTGAGTGTGTCGGTGACTAGAGACAATGATTAGTAGTATTGAAATGGGTGCGCATCAAAATCCTTACCTGTTCTCCAAACTTGATAATGTGTTCCCTGCGCCGCTCGCAGCGGAGCCATCACGCCCGGTAAACCGTCCGACTTTCGTGAGCGCTCACATCTGCTGGCCTGGGTGCCAGTTCCCGCACTGCCAGAAGGTCGGCCCACTTGCTGCTGCTACTTAAGCTGAGACAGCGCGTGGGCCGCGGTAAAGTCGCCAAACGGGCAGTGCTATAAACCTAAGATTGAAGCGGCGGTCATCGTCCAGGTTATGACCGATCCGAGTTAGGAGCAAGCGGCGGCGATCGTTAGCAGGGCGGGACACGGAGACACCAGAGAGGCGTAAAGGCCGTGTTGGACCACACCAGTCAGCTTTACTCAGATGAAACGGTAAAAAAAAGTAAGATTTGCATGCTCACCTATCGTCAATAGTATTAGTGACTCGATACTTTGTCTGACTCTCCATACAGCGTCAATTGGGGCCATGGAGAGATATGATTGTAGAGCGCACAGAGGGTTCCAGTTTGTCCGAGTCATTGCATGTAGTGTCTTTGTTAGGGTCGCCAGAGATCGCAGCACCAGAAAAGCCAAGTGCCTTGACTATTGTAAAATCATCGGCGGCAAACGAGCGAAGAGCCTGAGTGCCAGTGGACTCTTGACGTCAAGTTCTCACCTGGCAGTGACCAGTAGCGCTACAATCGAACGCGCGAGATTGAGCCAGAGGTCGGAGTCCATCTTACATCGCGTTTTCGGGAGCATCCAAGACTACTTCCGAAGCTCGTTGACGGGCGGGCCAAACATCGCGGCATCAAGAGAAGGCGAGACATGAGCGGCGAGCAAAGTTTGCCGGCGGGTTGGTGAGTAAGGATAGAACACCGTCAAGGCGGCGCACTCGCAGCACAGGCCGCTCTTGTATCGTTGATGCCGGGAGCCCAGTTGCGGGCCGGAACGTGGTGCTGAGAGAAGGTGTGCGCTGGCAGGATCGGTGACGTGTAGTGTCACGTGCTGTCGGCACGGACGCCGAAGGTACCACGGTGGCCTGGGGTCCCTGCTTGGCAGTCGGCAATCGTCGCCACACGTCAAAAGTGTGACTGAATGGTTTCTGTTGCAATACAGACTGAATGTTTTGGGCCGCGAATCAGGTGTGTACCTGAATCAATTGTGATTCCCGACTAAACGGGGCTAAATTTAGTGTTTATTTGGCCCGCTACCTCCGCTCTTTTAACCAGACCTGCGCCACCGATGCAGTTCACGGCCATGGCTCCCATGTCCTTCCGCTCCCTTGCCCTTGTTGCGCTTTCTACGCTCGTTTTTGCCCAGGCGTCGGATGTAGAGTCGAGCGCAGCCTCAGGCCAGCGCGCGAACGCCCTCGCAGCGTGTGCAGCGCTCAACAAGTCGCTGGGCTCGACCCTTGTCCAAACCTCCAGCGGCCCTGAATACGACTTTTCCGTCCATAACGCATGGAACTTCCAAAACACCCTCTTTAACCCGACCTGCATCGTTTTCCCCCGTCAGACCTCCCATGTCCAAACCGCAATGAAGGCGATTTTCAAGGCAAAGGCGCACTATGCTGTACAGGCGGGGTCGCATAGCGCGATGAAGGGCTGGAACAAGTGTGTCCTCTCTCCCACTGTCGTTCGATTGAGCTGATTCTGGTCCGCGTGTAGCGTGCAGGACGGTGTGCTGATTCTATTTTCGCACATGCAGAGTGTCGTCTACGACAAGCCATCGCATTCCGTGACATTCGAGCCTGGGATCCACTGGGGCAATGCTACATCCCAGCTGTCACAGTATGGTGTTGCTGTTGTCGGAGGACGCGTCGGGTACGCTTCATTTTCTCACTCTCCCGTTCATGTAGATGGGTACTCAATCGATTCCCGCGCAGTGATGTCGGGACGGGGCTGCTTTTGGGCGGCGGTATCTCTTTCTTGAGCCCCTCACAAGGTTTCGCTGCGGATAACTTCCTCTCCCTCGATGTCGTGCTGGTGGACGGGACGGTCGTGACCGCGACGGCGACCAACAGGTACTCGGACTTGTTCACGGCGCTCAAGGGCGGTGCTAACCGCTTCGGCATCGTCACGAAGTACACCGTTCGCGCTGTCGATGTTGGCACTCCGGATGACACGCCCTTCTATGGTGGACATATTTTGGTCGGGCTTCTCACACTTATTCCCTGGGCTTGTTGCTCATGATGTTGCAGTACAATTCCTCCTATGCCGCTGCGTTGTCCAAGGCGACAGCAAAGTATACTCGCGAAACGACCGACCCCAAGGCTGGTAAGCAACTGTCACTCTCCCAAATTTGAATGCTTCTATTCATCTTTGCTTATCAGCCCTCCTCTTTACCATCACCACGACCCTGATTGACGGCGTCGCCGAGCAAGTCTGCGTGCTCTTTCTCTTCTACCGCGGCTCCTCCCTCCCTCAATCGATCTACGGCGACTTCCTCGCGATCCCCGCCGTCGACACAGTACTTTCTCCCCTCAGTTGGACGCAAATCCTCCCTGCGCGTGACCCACCCAACTTCGTCTCCTCCAACCGCGGCTTCGTTCAGCATTTCAGCGCTTCTGCTGTCGTACCTGAAGACCGCCTCGTCCTCTCCGCGCTGAACCACTTCCAGAACTTCAGCAGTGCATTCCTGCACAATGGCACGACGTCGGGGATGAACACCACCTCGTTCATCTTGACGCCGATACTGGCGTCGCAGATCGCGGCGGGCAAAGCCAAGGGCGGGAACTCGATGATCGCACCGGGCCTCAAGGGGCCGTACCTCAATGTCCAGCGCAGCGAGCAGTTCGATGCCGGGGTACCCGACATCCCGGCGTTCGTCCAGGACGGAATGAATCTCTACATCAAGCAGTGCGTGACGTTGTTTGCATTTATATGGCGAACCTAACATCTTTCCGCAAGAGTCCCGCGGTCGCCTGGCCTCCCTCTGTGTAAGTTCCTAGCTGCATCAGCATGAGTGTTGCTGAACTGTGCGTGGTAGTCATGAACGAATGCGACCAAGGTCAAAACGTCTATGAAACATACGGAAACTTCGACGCGCTCAAGGCGACGTACAAAAAATACGATCCGACGAGGTGCGTGTTTCGGTATTTTATGCCGTTGTGCGTTAATTGAGCATGCCCAGGTTCAACATGCAGTACACCCAGGGACCTATGGGCCTGTGAGCCGTAGCTCATCTCCGAATAACAAAATCTTAGTGTAACACCATAAGTAATAACCAATATTAATTAGTTCTGTCCACAAATTGTTTGACGCCTAGTATCCGAAGCTGACCAGATACTCTTAATAATATTCCACCACTCCCGCGACTTCCACAGCAACGATGGGGTCCGTGTACTCTGCAACAAGCACACATTGCTTGGTCTTGCCCATCACACAGCCCACGGCCTGCGAGTAGATCAATTTTCAAAGCCAATGGTGCCTGATGATATATGATATCGCACCCCTCCCATAAATCATCCCCCCGTCCACAGAGTACACCATGAACCTGTTTCCGCACAACGCTAGTCCGTGCGCACGCGCAGCGGCAGGGTCATTAAATGCCGCGATGATGGCAGTCTGCTCTCGTGAATAAATCTAGAATTTAATCAACATGGAAAAAAAAATTCTGAGTTTAGACTAACGTCGTATCCCCAACTGCTGGCCCACGTCCCGCTTCCGTCGAGCCCAAATATTGCGCTATGCGTGATCTTTCCGCTCGAAAGCATATTGTTCACATATGCTGTTGGAAGTTTGACACCCATTTGAATTTCAATGAGCAGATTGTCTCCAGACCTTGCCAGGAGTCCAGGACATAGGAGATCATGTGGATGTGGTGACTCGTAGCTGGTGGTAAAAGCAAAGAATGGCGAGGTCGGTAGGAAGCGCTGCACACTGCCATTGCATGTGTAATGCTGATGTCTAACTCAGGCAGAGGCTGTGGGCCGGGCTATGCTGCCTCCATTGGCTGATTGAAACTGCGACTCAGTGTTGAACACTGTGGTCCGATAATGGCATGAAATTCACAAGAGATTTCATGCGATTTCCCCCTAGATTTCACTGCCCTTCAATATGACTTTCACTGACTTTGAATGAAAATCATATATCTAGAATTCATGTACAATATGGAAGATTTCATCCCTCTAATCCATGTACTTCTTGTGTGAACATCACCCACTATCAGTATGATTACTGACCAGTCAATGAATCGGACAATTGACAATTAAACACATTGGAATTCACTATCTGACTTCATGGGTGTGGAGTAATTAGCTATGGCGCGCCCGCTTAGGTGCTCCCCCACGCTCATCCGGATGCACACGCTTTCCCAGAGCCTTCTCCGATGGCCGTGGTGTCTCATCTTGCTCGAAATTGAATAAGTCGTCTTCGTTGTTGTCATCGTCATCGTCATCATCCGAAGTGGCCAAAGGTCGAGGGCGAGGTTGACGCGATGGGGTGGGGGAATGAGTGGGAGTGGGAGTAGGAGAAGGTGTGGCCTCGTCGTTGGCGTTAGTGCTGATGCCAGCCCGACGAGCAGCTGCTTGGCGGCCACGATAAGTGTCGGCGTTGTCGACACAGCTCTGGTAGCTCTTGATGTTGTCCCAGCATTGCTTCATGACACGGTACGTCATCCAGTGTCGCGAGCCCTTCTTGAGGTTGGGAAAGCTGTCTTCCGTCTGGAACACATGAGTGGTAGATTGAACAATGGAAGATGACGCACCGCTCTGATGGCCATTCCAATCTTGCGCTTATCTTGAAGCTTCCAGGGTACATCAAGGTCGAGACGTGCACTGGCCAAGTTGTGCCGACACATAGTCTGCATGTATAAGGCGAAGTCACCTGAAAAAAATGTAATGACGCACTCTAATGTTGTTCCATTCACGTTTAGTGACTCCCAGCTGCCGCCGAATATCATCCATCTTGGCCTTCGAAGGGTTCGGCGGGACGGGAATGGTGTCTTGGGTCGCCTCGGCTGGGGCTGACTCGTTCGTAACGTCTCGCAGATGCTCTTCAATATCGTGAATGTGTTCCTGCTGAGCGGCAAGCTCTTCGTTCTTGCGCTTAATTTCAGCTAGCAAATGGGTCAAGACAAAGAAGTAACCAAACCAACGAGCACTCACCTTGGAGTTGTGCGACACTGGGCCCTGGACTGCCCTGCTCCACTCCATCTCCTTCCTGTTGTTTACGACCGCGTCGAGGCCGACTGGGCTGCGAGACACCCGTAGGCTGGTTTTCGTCACTGGCTCGGGTCGACTTCTTCGACTTCTTGTTTCGGGGCTGGGCCATGGTTATGGTCAGTGGGTGATATGTTGTTAAACGAGGCCACACACACACCTTTTAACGCTCGTCGTAGGCGAATGGAGTGAGTGGAGCTGTGGAGCTCATCGTCATCAGCTCCAACGCGTGCCTATCCCGCCCCAACCCTCCCGCGACACCAGCGACCCATCGTTGTCGTTGGTTGCAGCCCGAAGACGAAGAAAAATGGTGTCGGAGACCTGTGGAAGCTGTGCGTGGACAGAGAAGTCACGGGAGAAGGGAAGGAAGGAAGGTGTGACGTAGCGTCTCACGGGCCCCACTTTCGCCATCCCGTGACGGCACGATTTCTCCCTAAACGCGACAAGTCTCTCCCCACCAAGCCATGCCGCCAAAGAAGAACCAGCAGCAACCCAAGGTCCTTTGCACCTGTGGCTGCCAGGAGCAGGTATCATATCAAACTCGCAAACGTCACTTGCGCGGTGCTGGGACTTTGCGCACAAAAGTCGCTGCTGCCGAGCGGCTTACCTCCAAACTACTTGACAAATTTTGTGGCCGAAAGCGAGCTGGAGAGCACGGTGACACCGGGGATGGTGCTGCACGGAAGGCAGCTCGACTCGGTGCGTCAATCTTGCTGCATTCAATTGCAAGCAATGACTGACTTTACATACAGAGGCAGACCATCGACGCACTCCAAGCCCTATCAACGATCCTCCAACTGCAGACTACTCGCCCCCTTCCTCTCCTTCTCCCAGGCATCTCTCGCCTTCACTTCTTACCACACGACCACGCGTTTTTGACCCCGAACCTGTCGATTTCAGCTCAGATGGAGACGACGAGGCGCTGGCCGCCGATGGCTTGCAACCGGACTTGTCTTTTGACTCCGACGAGGAAGGGGGAGAGCCAGTACTGGACGAGGATCTTCTCGAGCGAGTAGAGTTGACCGCGAACGAGCAGCTGGAGCGGGAATTCATTTCGGAGGATGCACATCGAGGTGACTCGTTTTTACTCTTCGTTCCGTCAAGACTGAAGCTGGTGGATAGTGGGGCCACTTACGGCTGAAGAGTTGGACGCCGTCCATGCTCATAATTTCAAGGTTAACGTTGACATGGGCACGCAAACGTACGAGAAGATGAAGCGTGCTTTCCCCCAGCTCAAAGACCTCCCTTCACTCCGCCAGCTTCAGAGCGAAATCGCCACGCTATCTGGGGTTCAACCCGTCAAATACGACTGCTGCGTCAAGTCGTGCTGTTGTTTTGTCGGTTCCTACATCGACTTGGACGAATGTCCGTACTGCAATGAGCCACGCTATGACAGTCGTCATCGACCACGGGCTACTTTCCACTACCTCCCGCTGATACCTCGTCTCAAAGCCCTCTTTGCAGATGCAGAGAGGTGCGAACAGTTGCGATATCGATCCAACTACAAACCCAACAACAAATACATTCGAGACATCTTTGATTCACTCCATTACCGCCGTCTTCGTCAACGACACGTTCGAGTCGACGACAGAGTCTTCGAGCACTGTTTCTTTGATCAAGACACCGATCTTGCATTCGGTCTCAGCGCAGATGGTGTCTGTCCCTTCAAAAATCGGAAGGAGACATGCTGGCCACTCATCGGTGTTCTCTACAACTTACCTCCCAGTCTGAGGTTCCTCAACGACGAGGTCTTTCCCCTTGGCGTTATTCCTGGGCCCTTTGCACCAAAAGACATCGACTCGTTCCTCGTTCCTCTTCGGGACGAATTTTGGGACCTCGCACGAGGTGTGGCTGCTTACCACGCAGCACGCGACGCTCAATTCTTACTGCGGGCCTACCTCATTCGCATTTTTGGCGACATGCCTGCGATGGCGAAACTCATGCGGATGAAGGGTCCCAATGGTCTATATCCGTGTCGCTCCTGCAAGATAATGGGCATTCGAGCAGATGACGCTGGCAACAACACTCACTATGTCCCTTGTTTCCGGCACAATGGTCAATCTTACAGCCCTTACGACCTTCCCCTTCGTACCCATGACGAGTTTATTGATGATGCCGTCGCTGTTGAGTCTGCTCCAACGAATGCAGAGGCTGAACGACAAGCAAAGGAGACCGGAATTAACGGTCTGCCTATTCTGGCAACACTTTCCAGTCTCGAATTCCCCCATTCCTTTGGCCATGATTTGATGCATCTCATCCCCGAAAACGTTATTAAAAACCTTCTCCTGCATTGGATTGGCGAATACAAGAAGCTTGATGAAGGCGACGAGGAGTACGAGCTTGCGCCAGCAGTCATTGAAGAGATCGGACGAGAATGTGTAGCTGCAGGAGATACAACACCGGCAGCATTTGGGGCTCGTGTCCCTAACATCGATACTCAACGGTTTTACTTCACGGCAGAGTCGTACACTCTTTGGACCACTCTCTTAGCCCCAGTTCTCTTGCGAAATCGCTTTCGGCAGGACAAATATTATCGACATTTCCGGGACCTTGTTGAGATCTTCAATGATTGCCTCTCCATGAAAATCTCACGAGAATATATCGACGTTGATCTACGCGACAAGATTGCAACCTGGGTTTTCGAGTACGAGCGGTCAGATTTTTTTTTTCCTCTCGTCGCTTGCTGATGTTTTCCTTCAGTTACTACTATCAGTACGAGGACTCGCGGCTGTCGGCATGCCCTCTAACGATACACGCATTACTTCATATCCCTGACGATATTCTAAATGGTGGTCCGATGTGGACTTACTGGAACTACGTCACTGAACGCTACGTCGGTTTTATCGTCCGCTCAAGCAAGAGTCGGCGTAACCCGTATGCAAGCTTTGCACGACGCCTACGTGAAATCGCACAGAACAGCGCAATAAAGGTCCGATATCATCTTTCTCGAGAGCTTGATCTGTCACCAAAGCGAGAGGAGGAGTTGAAGGGCCACCGAGTCGACGGGCAACGATGTGAGTAAGTAATTCTATTGGCTAGAACCTGATTTCTAATTTATTGAAAGACTCTGATATCCGAGTTCTGTACCCTCGTGCCGTAGGGCCTCTCTCGACTGGTGTCGCGAAGGCAATTAACCATTATCTCCAAAATACTTATCGGATTCCGCCTGCAATGGCGAAGGCCTTGGTTCCAGAAGAAGCGACTCATTGGGGGCGAGTTTCTTTCCTCGGCGGTGGCGATAAAATGCGTGGTGCTGATTTGACGCAACAATCTGGTGGGTACATGACACGGGATGCGTCATTTGTAAAGGTGTGTCCGTGTTTGCTTTCGATGAAAATAGCTTGTCTTAAGTATGATTGGTCATCCAGTTCTCGCACCTGGTTGATACTAATGCACGAAACTCACGGCAACCACGCGTCGACGAAAGACAGGTGGCCTATGGTCAACTCCTGCGTCTAATCGAGTTCTCTGTTGACTTGCCCAAGGAGTGTCAAGTTGATCACCCACTTCTACTCGCTGTGGTACGACCGGTCAAACCTCCGAAGGACAATCCATATCCTTTCCCCGTCTACCAGGATGGCAAGTTTGGGTCTGTGGAGGTGGTCGATGCTGATGATGTGAGCTGTTTAGTGGCAAGAGTTATAGCCAGCAGAAGAGGACCTCGTTTTTATGCGCTCATCGAACGCCCAGATGCCATGGGGGCCTCACCAGAAGAAGAATAAAGGGGGAAATGTGTATTTTACGTTGCAATTTGACTTGTTTTACTGCGAAAGGATATCGGAAGCAATGATATTGAGAGTGATGGTAAGACTACATTCAATAATGGTGTCCGAGACGCTGGGTGACTATGCAATTGCCGCGCCGTTGACGAATGGGGCTTGGCAGTACATACAGTGTGGGGTCTTTTGCTTTCATTTCGCGAAAGGTCCGGTCGAGGAGAGGTGCCAGAAGAGGGTCATTTTCAATGGGTTGAGCAGTGGGAGGTGCAGAGGCATGGGTTGATTGGGAAGAATGTGCTTCACAGAGTGCTTAGCGGATGTCTGCAGCAATGAGATGATTTACGCACCATTTTCCCTTCTTTTCAACACAACTAACTCCTTCTCCATGACCTTGACTCGATGTTCTACAGCAGAAAGGCGCTCCTGATAGTGGTGGTGGTTCCCCTTTCGACGTTCAGCCTTGTTTTCGATCGGTGTGAATGGTGCGCGAGTCGATGTGTCCATGTCATGAGCAGCTTTCAGCTCTTGTTCTTCTCTCTGTCTCGCCCTCTCCCTCTCCGGCTCTGAGTCGGACACGTGTGTTATGGTGGATGAGGAACGGCGCAGTAGTGGTCGTGGTGGTTGATGCATGAGTGGAGTCGATGACGTCGAGGACCACGGAGTTAGTGACTGTCAAAATTCACTGTCAATGGAAAGTCGTCACATAAGATTTTGGCAGTGGCCAACAAGCTTGGTTTGGAAGTACATGAAACCAGTACATGAAATCTGGACAACATGAAAATAAATTCATGTAAGAAATATATGAAACGTGAATTTCAGGCGCTGGGTCTGTGAATTTCATGCACTGTGCGACTCACAGTGCGAAGGTGGCACCGGGCTGTACTCAGGCATTGTGTATATACTTAAACAAGAGATTTATGGGGCTCCGAGTCATCTTCTGCCTCAGCTTCAGTGTGGCATTGCCTACAGCAATGTAAGTTACTTATTCTGGGGACATAATATATTATAATCATATGGTATTACAATCATATTATATTTTATAATCATATTATATTCAGAACTCCAACCCAATAATTATTGTGGTTTAGTAAAATTATATCCAGCTGCAAAATATATCTTATTGAATCATAACTACTGCCTAATTGATTGATGTGAGCCGTGATCGTTTAATTGGGACACTTTGGGATCAAAAAAATCTGATGTGACCATGACCAGTAGAATTGAATGAAATGGGTCAGTAATATATCCAACCATCATCTAGTATGTATATCTTTGGATTTATTGGACATATTTGCTGTGAGAAACAATACAAAGCATAAGATATATGCTAGACTGTTAGGGAAACTTCCCTTCAGGCCTCTCTAACTCCAGCCTTGGACCTATAGGATCCTCAAAATATAATCAGAGGCACTACCACTAGTATACTATATTGAATAGAGTGTTCCCAAAGTTATCACTATTGAAACTTGTTCCAATTCAGAGTAATGTATTGTTTTATGGAATCACCAATATATAGTAGATAATATGGCTAGACTAGGAAAATACTGACACATTTTAATCAATTCGTCAGACCCTTTGGGCTGTGACGCCACCAGGCTGCCAGTTAGACACAGGCCTCAGGTAGCGGGAAGCTGTGGCAACCTAGTCGCAGAATGTCATGTTGAACACCTCCTGCAGATCAGGGATGGTGTTGCTATGTAGACTTGGGAGATCACCATGCTCTACCCTGGCACCAGTGTCAGCAAGCCGGGCGGCTCCAGCCCCTGTGCTGCCGAGGCCCGCGGGCTCAAGACCAGGCCTGAAACTTCTGGGCTGTCAGCGTTGGGCTTGGGTCGTATTGGGTCATTGGGCCATGCGACTTCGAAGGGGTCTGAGGAGCACAAAAGGATGGGTTTTTAGCCCAGAGAATAGATGATATTAGCCTGGCGACTACAGCTTGTAGGTACTTATAGTATGCTGGAATATTAGACATAAGATCGGATGAGCGCCAGGTCCTAGGGCAGATCGGATAGGCATTGTGTAGGGCTCATAGGGGTGAAAGCAAGGGGTTAGAAGAATGGGGAGTAGAGGAATTGTGGGGGACGTCAGGCCCGAACAGCCCCTGTAATGGCGGGCAGACTTGTTGGCCCGATCCAAACAGTGATACGGGGGGCAGGCCCATATCTGCAGTGGGCCACCACACCCATGACAATCACTACCTTGGTGACTGGTTAGACATCCCGGCGCCAATCCATTAGGCCTCCACAATGTTGCACTGAAGCCCTAAACCTTAGGTGACTCTATCCTAAGGCCCTAAGCCTAAGCCTTAGTCTAAGGCTTAGTTTGAGTGCAAATTTTAGCTCTGATGCCTTATTAGTCACGTGTTGTGTACAGCCATATTCAGATCTCATTGAATTTTTGCTTCTTGCATCCAGTGATGTTCATAAGCCCTTAATTTGGGGCTCCAAAATGGATTAAGCCTTAAGTAAGCCTTAAGCCCTTAAATAAGCCATAGGGCTTAAGCACTTAATTACCTAAAAAGAAAATTTTCAGAAAGCCCTCTGTGCAGCTACAGCTAATGATCCACCACAATTAGGCTGACATTCCTACCCACATACTAGCTGGAATTACTGGTAGCAGCTCTACCCCCTCTGTAGGTCAGTTGTAGTATGTGTTGCAGCCACAAGCCTGGCCCATATATCAAGTTATGCTTTAAAATTTTGTGAAAAAACTCTGGAATAAACTGCTTTTCCCTTGTATATCAAGTTTCACTAGTAAGATGAGGCATCTCAGTTGTTTTAAAATAGTTTGTATGATGTGACATGTGACATTAAGCCCTTAAGGCTTCTGACGGGCACCAATTAAGCCTTAATGGAAGCCCTTATGTCAGGGCTTATGACTTAAGGCCTTAAGCCTTATGAACATCACTGCTTGCATCCCACAATGATCAACAGGATGGAGTTACTTCTGTCAGGGGAACCTCCCTTTCGCCCCCTCGGAGACGATTCCGATTCCGGTCCGACTCCGGCTCCGACTCCGGTGATCGCATCACCGCCTCCGTCAGGCGCATCGCCGCCCCTGCCTGGCGATCCCCCTGGGACCTGGCCTGCGACATGGCGCAGGCATACTGCACGGAGCAACGATCAACCTTGGCGCGTCAAGAGCGCAGTATATAGTTCCGCTACCTAGCAGGCGGACCCTTAGAGTTTCTTCTCTTTGGATCCTCCCCTGCTAGGTCAGCCTCACTTGTATTTGCTTACTTCTATTCACTCTTTGGATCCTCCCCTGCTAGGACCTTGATCTCAGGCCTCCGGGGTTGCCCTTACAGCAGAAGAAACTCTCTACGGGATCAACCGGACAAGATTGCTAGGTTTGGGCGCTGACTCAGGCTCGGAATACGAGTCCGTTCCGCCCCTCGTCACCCCCCCTACCACTTGTCCCCTCCTCCTCTGTCACTCCTGTCATCCCCGCACCTGTCATGCCTTCCGGAGCTACTCCTGACGCTGACACTCGGCTGGATGCACTCGAGGCGAAAATCGACCGCCTAACTGAGGCCCTTACTCTTCTCACCACCCAGGCTTCCGCTGCCGCTGCCGCCGCTAATACTGCTGGCGGACCCCAAACAACACCACCCCCGGAGACGTCGATTCCGACCCCGACTCCGGTTCAGGGCGATTCCGAGGCCCTCTTTGGCGACATCAACCTCGCCTCAAAATTGGTCTTGCGACCAAACCCTCCGTTCACCTTCAACGGCGATCGGAAACGCGGCCGCGCGTTTCTCTATGCGGTCCGCACCTACGCCCGCCTTGCCCCTGAGGCCTTCGTGGTCAACGGAGAGGCGAGCGAGGAAAAGGCCGTCCGCTATGCCATGTCGTTTATGGCAGAAGGACCCGCTCAGCAATGGGCGGAGCGCCACGGAAGCAAAGCCCCGTTTCCGTTTCCGTCCCTGGGGCTCGTTCGTTCCGAGTTCCGACTCCGGTTCGTCGAGGAGAATGAGCAAGATCATGCTCTCTCCAAACTGGAGACTTCCGCCTATCACATGGGCACAAAGGATGTCTACCAGTACACCGGCGACTTCGAGGACCTGATGGACCTCGCCGGATTCGAAGACGCGTTGGTCAAGGTGACCAAGTTCCGCCACGGACTTGACCCCCTGATCAACAACGGAATCACGTCCTCGAACGACCCCCGGGCCTCCGGGACTACCTTAGCTGGCGCACCCGGGCCTTCCGTCAATACGAGGCCCTGGTCCGGGCCAAGCTGATCAAGTCAGCCGCCCCCAAGACGCCTGGCGGTTTGATTCGGACTCCGTTTCCGGTCAACCGTATCCCGGCTCCGGCCCCTTTCCGCCCGGTGGCTCCGGTCGTGCCACCCGTGGCCCGCGCCCCCGCTCCGGCGCCTCCAGCTCCCGTCCCCATGGAGTTGGATCGCACCAGGGCTCGGGGTGCCCCTCGTCGCGCCTGCTTCAGGTGCGGCGACCCAAACCATCTCGCCCGGGATTGCCCCCTCCCCGCGGACGTCCGCTCAATGGACATCCTCGACGAGGTGATCCAACAACTCGGTGACAAGATGTTAGCGGAGTTGATCGCCCGCTACTCGGACACAGCTGCGCTGCCGGAAACAGTCGCGGAGTCGATGGCCGGAGAGGATTTTGTCCCCCGCGACGAGTGACTGGTGTGCCCTCGTTCGCGTCCGTAAATCGTTTCGCTTGTTTGTATGACGAATCAATTCCTTTGCCCTACAACGAGCCTGAAACGAAAGACATACCCTCCCCCCGCCCGTTTCGACTCCGTCTCCGACTTCGCCCGCGACTCCGGTCATCGTCCTTCGCCGCCTCACTGCCTGGGAAAAGAAACTGCCCAAGCAGTACACTGTCGCTGCTTCCCCTGGAGTGAACTCCCTCCACCTCCCGTTGGAGCTAGAGTCCACTACCAGCGCGCTTAAGCTCTCGCTCTCCGGCCTGGTTGACTGTGGTGCCACCTCCGACTTTATCGACACGAACTATGTCGCTCGGAATGGCATTC